GTAATCTTACTTTGGGAGGTTATGAAGAATCTCTCTTTGTACCAAATAATCTTACAGTCGACTTTGCCACTAATGGTAACGACCTAATGATTGATGTCAACACGATCACGATTACCTCTTCCGGTGGTAAATCTCAAGTCGTCTCATCACCATCATCGTCTTTTCCAGCTTTCATTGATTCATCAATGCCATTTATATATCTTGACGTCAGAATATGCAAACAGTTTGAAGAAGCTCTCGGTCTTACTTACGATTCAAATTCAGAACTATATTTACTCAACGACGCACAATATACTACACTTGTCGCTAAAAATGCGTCTGTGATTTTCACACTCACGAATTCTACTTCTAGTGCCATGGTAAACATTACACTCCCATACGCCGCTTTCGATTTGTGGGCGGATTATCCTCTTGTTCAGAACCGTACTCGCTATTTCCCTCTCAAACAAGCAGCCGATAGCTCTCAAATAACACTTGGACGAACATTTTTACAAGAGGCTTACCTAATTGCCGACTATGAGCGTTCTCAATTCTCCATCCATCAACGCAATTGGAGCACATTCTATCCCGCGTCAAATCCAACCACAATTCTCCCCCTGAATACTCCCGCACCGACATCTTCCTCTTCAAAGTCCAAAATCTCAACTCCAGGCATAGCAGCTATTGTTCTCGCGATTCTTGCTTTTATAGCCTTAACCCTCTGCCTCACAATCTTTATTCTCCGCCACGCTCACCAGCGCAAAAAAGCTCCGGAGCGGTCAACTTCTGCATCTACTTCGCGGAGCCTCTCAAAAAAAGAGTCATTCCGCTCCGCTCCCTCTTCTCCACTTCCTCTTCCTTTCATCTCCAGCAAAGACAAAGCGGATAAAAAGTCCAAACACGTCTCGGATTTGAGTTTCTTCGACAAGGGCACCAACTCTGTCCTCCTTACGCCCTCCAATCGCTCACTCGTCTCCCTAAACATCGGTAAAGCCATTGGAAGCCCCAACCTCACCCCTCAATACACTACATCCGGTACCTCCATCACCCAAAGTCATAGCCATAACAACGCAACCAACGCCATCCTCAACAAAAACCTCAATTTGGTTCCCACCGTACCTAAACCCACATTCCATCTCGCAAGTCTCTCAACGCGCCGCAAAGAGCGGAAGAAAAAGCGAAAAGAAAAGGCACTGGAGATTTATGAGTTGAGTGGTGGTAATGATGTATTATGTTGGGCAGAAATGGATGAAATGGATGAAGAACTAGAGGAAATGGAAATGGATAGTCGACCCAGTAGTCCCGCATTAAGTGCGTTAAGCTTTGCGAGCGATGCCGTTTTGATTGCTTCTAATCCCGAGAAACCAAAACCATGGATGAATACCGAGCGTGAAGTTCGTGGGAGCGGAAGTATTTTGCATATGGGTCTGAATAGGGATAGTGGCCTGGAACGCATGGATCGAATGGACAAAGAAGCAGAAGCGTATCGGGAAAGAAGCGGTGGGAATAATCCTCCTGGGGGTGGAAATGATACAGTAGCTACGAACAATAGTCGTGGGAGAGAATCCCATTTTACGAATACAACGATGGGCTTGGATACGCCCACTGAAGGTGGAACGGGGACGTGGGAATTAGAAAAGTATTTGGATGCGGGTAAGATGCCGTGGGTGCAGGGGAGAAGTGGGTTGGGGGTGGCAATTGAACCTCCTCCGCCTGTTGCTGTTGCAGCGATACCGGCGTTGAGGGATGGATCTCAGGCGCCGGAGAAGAGGGTGGAGATTGTGAGGGATTCAATGAGCAGTCCGGGGCAGAAGAGAGAAAGTGAGAGTGGGATTATTGGGGGGAGATCTCTCTAAATCTCATCCCCCATTCTCGTTAGTGTCTATGTCTTCTACTGGTGCCAGTACTAGAATATCTGTATAAGTTAAGATTGGGGAAAGAAAGTCGAGTGGAATATGAGTTACGAATGGGAGGTATTTATGTATTCGCATATCATGTCATAGGAAATAGGAAGTAGGGGTAGAAGAGAGAAAAAATATGAAGGCAAGGAAAGGTAAAGCGTGGGATATTGACCTCCTATGATTTGATTTGATTTGATACCTGGTTTAAGAAGGAAAGAGGGGGGAAGGGGGGAGTTATCATTATTTCATTGTATCGATATCAAGTTAACAATCAAGTGGAATCATATGCATGGCAATCTATAGTTAAAAGTCTCGCATTTCTTCTCTCTCAATGTCCTCCTGTCAATACCCAACTATCATACACTTCAAGACTATCCGCCGGCTACCCATAAACCCTTTGTTTCTTCCAATCCATTATCAAAAATGTAACTCATACACGTCCTAACCCTTCCCACCCATATGAAAAATGCGCCCCCGAAAACGAAATATTATATTATACCACGGCCCGAGATCTGCCATCACCGGAGGCAGTTTCTCGAGTCTCTCAAATGTCCCAAACTCAAATATCACCCTCTCAAACAACCCCTTCAAATCGTTCACATCCTTCACTCCATCTCCAACCCGATGAATCGCCGCGAGAGGATCGCTGCAGACCGGACGTGACGTAAACGGTTGGAAGTAGAATTCTACTCCGTCTTCTTTCGTACCAGAGCTGCAGATACATTGGACCTCCCGCTGAGAACGAGATACGTCCACATAAATGCCATGCATCCAAATATGGCTATGTACGTATTCACCAGGACGGATTCGACGGTGGTGGGTACCGGCGTGCCGGTGGATGTCGGTGCGCTTGCCATGGTGAGAGGGTGTGCGTTGTGTGGTTTGTGTGGATGGGGTTGATGGGGGGTGTGTTGTTTTGAGAAGCTGGTTGGTTGGTTGGTTGGTTGGTTGGTTGGATGGATAGATGGATGGATGGATGTTTCGTTCGTAAAGCTATGTAGTTGATGAAGATGGACTCGTAGATGAAGTTGAGTAGAGATGTGCTGTATAGCAATGTGTTTTTTGGGTGCGGGTTGAAAAGGGTGTAGGGTTATGGCGATACGAACGTGCGATTATGAGGAGGCGAGGAGGAGTTTTGCTGAAGGTAGTGTATTGTAGTACGAAGCTTGAAGAGCGGGAGTAGAAATAATGTAGATTAAACCGGTGATGGATGTAGTTTGATTTACACTGATCAAGGTTGTTTGCTGGCAAAAGTATCAAGATTTAGAAAACTGTTGGGGTTTTCAGAAAACTTTTGAGATTTGGAGAGTTGAAAATGATAAAGCACTTGGGAATTCGAATGTTTTATTAACTGTCTGCCTGACTAGCTCGATAGATAGATAGTCATTGCAATTATGAATCATAATCAATCAGTCATCATGTGCTCATCATGCGCACAGAAAGTGCTAGATTAGATGAAAAGTGATAAGCAACCTTCATATCCGAATTCCCATGTACCAAAAACCATGATAATGTACCAACGGAGTCGACGAGCTCACCCCCTTCGCCAAATTTCTTCTCCTTCCCCCTTTCCACCATCTCCACTAAAACCAACGCAGCATAAAGTAAAATACCATATCCAAACACCAAAGCCACCCAGTCCACACCCCCTCAGATCCAGCTCCAAACTCCCAAAATAGCAAATGCGATATCGAAAGGCTTGGCTAGAGCCTAGTAGTAATATGGAGGAGGGGGGTCGAACGTATATTGAGAATTGCTGTCCCTGAAACGACCACCGATTTGAGCGCACGGCGGGGGAAATGTTAGAGTGGATTCGGTAGGAATAACGGTAATAGCTGTGAGATAAGGTTCGTGATGCAAATCCATAGCATTTTCACGAATAGAAGATGGTGGATGGATATTCGGAGTAGCTTTGGGTGGGGTGTTGGTCGTAGGAAGTTGGTCCAAGGCTGTATTCTTGCGATTAAGCAAAAGCCCAGGCCATTTTCTTAGAGCCCAACGCTGGAGCGGGCGAAAGACGAAGTTCAGGACAATGGAAACTGCATCCAAAAATGCTAATATGCATATGCCGAAGACGAATATGGGAAATGTAATGGTCAACATGGTAAAGATCAAAGGTTCCATGGCCCAGATGGCCAGAGGGCTTCTGGCCTCGTAATCCAAGAAATCACCCAAAGTCATTGCTGATACAGTCGAAAGGTGTGAATGGAAGAGCATGGAGAGCTTATAGCGTTGGATCTTGGTCAGGAAGTTGTGATCGAAGTTGAATATTGCCAGTATGGATATCGAAACATGCAAATCTTTGCGTCTGTAGAATATTACGGGAGCTTGGATTGTGGAGAGAAATCTTAGTAGAAATAATCAGTCTAGAATAATGCTGGTACATGTGGTATGATATGATGCATTCACTCTCACTTTCGATGAAATCTCATGATATATGAAAATAATCGTGATGGAATACGAAGGTTAATGTGGTCATATTTCCTGCAAAATCCATTTCCCCATTTTCCCATGTCCATGAAAATTCCAACCCCCTTTCTCCATAAACGAATCAAGATTTTTCCGGCGAGTAAATCTTCGACGGAACTTTGATCATGGCAAATTCCTCTAAGCGACGTGCTTTAATTTCCATTTTTGCTTCCCTTCTGATCTGAGCCTGTCGTTTCCTCTTTTTCAAGCACCCATATCCACAGCATACGAATATCAATATGACAACCAAAACTGCCCCCGAGACGCAGAAAACAAGATTGAATAATGAACTGTTTCTAGAGTCCGAATATGTGATGGATGTATTGTTGGCCATGGCCTGACTCTCCTCCAAATATAAGTGAAGTTCTTTTTCGATTGTAGAGTATTTGAGGGTGTCGAGCTCGTTTCAATGGTAAGTTTGTTCGATTTCCAGGGTCGATTATCAGAAATGGCAAACTAAAGGATACTAAATTAGTTCTCGGATTTTTTAACTTTGCTGAAGTTCATTGGCGGCAAAGCAACGAGCGTACAGAAAAGGAGGGCAGAAATGTAAAATATGCAGAAAATTAAGTAAAAGACTGAAGAACCTAACAAGACCTCAATAATTGAAGAACATAATCAATTCAGAGCAAAAAAAAGGGAAAAAGAATATGCAATCGCGGTGACTCGAACACCGACCTCCACCTTGGAAGGGTGGAATCCTAACCCTCTATTGCTTGTTAGATGATGAATACTCGGAAATCAGACAGGAAATCAACTTACTGGACCACGAAAGCTGTTTGTTTTATTTGTGGTTTTACTCAAAAGAACTTCAAGTATATAACAAAGAACGAGAGGTTGAGGTTACGGAGGGCGAAAGGGGAAGGAATGAGGATGCGCCTTCCAAATGGGTTATGTGGGAGCTTACGGTAAGTTTCAATTTCAACATTCGAGAGTCAGATAATAGATGCAAAATATATATTCTAAGTTGACATGAGGAAGTTAAGATGGGGTTTTGAAGGAATTAGTATCTACTCTTTGCAATCAAATACTTTACAGGTCGTCGCTCCCAGCCACATTCATTCCTCATCATCCAAACATACATTCCAAAGCAACACAGCCATACGAACAAATTTTCATGGAAATGTCAAAATCTCCCAACTAACAAAGTCCACTATTTAAAACATATCCAGACTATTGTGAACAGAAAGATCCTGTTGTCCCTAGAGTCTGACATAAGAATTTCCCGGATGGCAGCAGAGCCGAGAGTCGACGGGCCGTTTTTTGATGCCACTAATTGCATTCCCTTGCTTTCTTCTGCGATATTTCTTCCACCCTTGCGTGTTATATTTCGTTGAGAATCTCTTCATCCTTCAAATATTTGATTTTAGTGGAAATAAAATCGATAGAAGAACCCAAAGACACCGAGAAGAAAATAAAGATGGCAATAGCACTGCCTGTTGCAACAGCACCCCCACGAACTTTTACTGGGCTATAGGGGCCATAGGAGTTATAGAAGCCATACGGTTGAAGGTCATTTTCAAGAAGTAGATTAGGAATTTCGAGGTCAAATCGTGGATGAGAAGTCAAGATGTATTTCTAGAAAACTTGGTTTCTATAGTACTTCGTCCAAGCACTACTCTCAAAATATCCAGCATGCTGCCTTTCCCAAATATACATCCTGACCCAACCCCGCCCTCAAACGCAACGCAAACGATACAAGCAATAAGAGAAAAGAAATGTGGTCTCCACCAAATATCCAACTCAGAAGTCCGCCGGCCAAAATGTATCAAAGCCTCCTCGTCCATGGGTGTTCGTAATGGAAGTGAAGGATCGATTTGACGGCTAGGAAAGAGACTCTCAGGGCCAACTAAACGCTGGTATGTGCTGCTCTAATAGCCCGTTTCTGACCTCCGTGCCATAGGTAATAGAGGATTCCGCACATCGCAAATGCAGCAACACAGAACCCGACAGCATAAACGCCCGCAATAATCTCAGTAGGTGTGCCGTTAACCGGGGCATTTGTGTCGTTATCCATAGCGTTTGTATGGTTAACTATGATCTCGGGTTGCTTGTTGAACATAACGTAGTCCGCACGAAGGTTTGAGAAATGTATTCGGACTCTATGTTGTGGGATGTTGACTCGAGCTTTCGATGTAGCTACGGTGCAGCGAGGTATAGCGAAGTGTAGTGTGGTGTTGTTGAGATCTTGGTGTAAAGATTCGTGAAGGCGTAAGAGTCGAGAATGTAATGGCGTGGAGATATGAGACGGCAGATGTTGAGGAAGTTGAGGATGTAGAAGGTGTGAGGACGTAGACTATATGAGGACGCGAAGGACGTGGGGACGTGAGGATTTGAAGACGTGAGGACTCGAAGACGCAAAGACACGAGGATATGATGAAAATCGACGAGACTTTAGAATCCAGGAACGTCCTAATTTCAGGCGAAGCTAACTTGACTATCGAGGTTGATATTAACCAAAGGCAGTATGACAAGCTACAATACCGAAATTTTGGACCCGAAAGTCGGAATGCTGATAGAGGCATCGAAATGTCGACGAAGAATTTAGAAGTCGAGGAGCTTCGATAAACCAAAAAGCCCTCTACGAACAAATAATAATCCAATGACTCCCAAACCCCTCGCTTGCTAGGGCAGGGTAAATTGTTATGTTGGTATCGCCGACTTATGATTCACAGGAGTGCAGCGATTCGAATTCACAATCTTCGTGTATCGTTGGAAGAACCTCCATTTCTTTCCTTCTCCTCCATTTTCTATATTGCTCAATGACAAAGACCGTGAATATGGCGATGGAAATTCCAACGAGCACACTCCCCAGTCCTACCAAAAATTCTTGGAATGGGTGTTCTCTTCTCAAGTATTTTGAGAATGCGGCGAAATTCGTACACTCGGGCTGGTTGCAGTGAGCGGGCATGATGTAGGGTAATGAGTACGATACGAGGGTTGGAGACTGCAAAGTGTTGACTTGGCTTTTGATGCGTGGCGAAGTATGGTTGGAATCCTGGTGTGTTGGGATGTGTGAGACTTGAGGATGGTAAAGAGGTGAGGAGGTGGGGGAATGAGGATTTGTGTATTTGATTTTTATTAGGCTAGGTAATCTGGGTTTGGATTGATATCTGGAGATGAAAACAAATAGCTAAGGCTAGTGTGTGGTAGCGTGGTGATGCAATATTGAAGTTTTGGACTTTAATACTGCAAGTTGTAATGTTGGAAGAAATTCTGGATATTGTTGGAAACTTTCTTTTGCAACATTGGTAAGGAAAGTTTGGGAACTCGAGAACTATATCAAGTCAAACGACCCACCTAACGATACCTAATGATTCCCAACATTTCGATTCGGCTACAAATAAGTGGTATCATTCACATTTATTCTTAGGAAAAATATTTCGTGAATCCAGTCACCACGATGAAGATTCCACTGCAATCAGAGATAATGAAGTGCAAATAAATGCCTTCTATCAGTTTACGGATGACATTAGATTTGGCAAACGGTTCCAGATCATGATATCCAGATGAGAATTCACGCTCTAGGCTAAATACCAAGGCGGCAAAGATACATACATTATGAAGAGATTATTTTCGAGGTACTTAGTACAAACAAGATCACGCATCCCTCCCATACTATACCAACTCGCTCGCACTCTCTATCCCTACACATAAAATCCATTCCCAGGAAACCCGTATTAACCCCCCCTCTCCCCCCAAGCCCCCCAAAACTACCAATCCTAAAGTAGATCACCAGCCAAACTCCCTTGGCGATAAAATCACCCCTGAAAATGCCCGCCATATAGTAAAGATACATCAGCATCGCCTTCAACAACAGCCATGCTAAAATTTTGAACCAGAGGGAAATTCTTGAAAGGGAAATTGGTGAAAGGGAAGACTACTCAACGGCCGACCAAAAGCCGAACGTTGGTCTGCAGGCCACACGCTGATTGTTTCGAGGGGGGTTGGCTCTTCCTTGTTCTCCTTCCTCCATAACCATGATTTGAGGTACTCGTAGGTCAGGAAGGCAACTAGGCCTACAAAAGTTATGGCAAAGCATGCGATAAAGACGATTGTGAATGGTTGAAGCATCGTAGTCTCGAGAAGGGAAAGGCTTTCCGCGAATGAAGTGTTATTGTGGAGATCGAATTACGAGATTCGAATGTGCGCCGTGAACGCTTATGATGGTATTGCGAAAATACGAAAAATCGCCGAGTGATGTTTTGAGACAACGAGAAAGCCGAGTTTTCGAGAGTACAAAATGGAGGATCTGCAGGGGGTGTGGTATGATTTCCGTGGAGTTTTGTTGTATAGAAAGCGAAGAGGGTTTGAAAGAGGTTGGTTGCAACGGTGTCAGAAAGTTATGCGCGTTGGTAAAAGTTTAGAGATTCGAGAAATTGTGATGAACTCAGACCGAGTCCGCGCCCATGAAAATTCGTTGATTCTTACTACACTGTCTCGACTACCTAGGGCACTCGGCTAGGAACAAAATTCGCCCTGACGACTCATACTTATGATTCACGATTTTACTACATAGTACCTAGCCATCGAGATATTCACCATGAAATAGACCCAGCAGTTGATTGTAGAAAGAAATGTAGATTATCCAAATTCTGATATCTATGCAACCCCAGAAACTATTCTCCTCAATCCCAGCCTTTAAAACCACGTACCTACCTACACATTCCCAGGAAATCTATCACTGGATTAGTATTTCCACAAAGTTCCCAACACTAATGTGCGACCGTAAAGAGATTCTGCTTCCCGTCACCATACTACATAGCCTTAACCTCAACCTCGAAATTTGCGAAATGGTTTATCAGTGGTGGCCAATGGTTGGGCACTTGTTAGAGTCGTTGTGGAAACCCGGCTGATGTTGGACATCGAAGTAGAGTTTGACATTGGGTTTGACGACGGAGTCGCGGAGCTTTGAAACACTCCCGCGGCTGTCAAGGTAGTCGATGTCCCCATGGTCAAAGATGAGTAGATATCGACAGATGAGGTAATATTATTACCAGGAGTAGCCAACGGTTGCGCACTCGATGAAGTAGTTGCGGGAGATGAACTGGTTATAAAGTAACTAACCGGATTACCAACATCTTTCTCCGCATTAAACGAACTAGAGTGTCCAACAGCCACAGCTTTTGCAGGATTTTGATGCTGATTATGGGGGTGGAGGTGGGTAACAAAAAAAGCAACGAGGCTGCCTCCGCAAACAAGTATGATGGCAGAGAATACATAACGATCTTTGTGATTTCGATGCATCTTTGAGGTTGGATGGAGACTTGATGTGATTATTTCTCTCTATCTTCGGGACTACTTGATGATTGTCTAGGATGTCGAATGTGTGCTGAATGTGAGCGACTTGTATGTCGAGTGTGTGTTGAATATGAATCTCTTGGATGTCGGGTACGTGTTGTATGCGTTAAATGTGAATGTCTCCGTGAGTGTCTTGATTGCCGAGTATGTTCTGTATGTGTTGAACATGTATGTCTTCGTAGCCTCGTATGCTCTGCTAGTAGACGTCTTGGAGCTTGACCTAATTCCTGAAGGTTTGAAATAGAATTACCTCTGATACCAAAAGGTTTCCGAAAAGAGCAGTAAAGAACAAGAGCAAGTATAACTATAAAGCATGCGCCTGTGATTGCAAATATATTACCCGAGCTAAATTTCATTGACGTGTGTGAATGTCTTCTTTGTTCAGCCGAATGATATCGAGGCCAGATGAAGCGCTCAAAAGAGAGATGGCTGCAATAGTGATTGTGTTTCAGCTCGAAAAATTTAACTTGTTGAA